AGTCCTAGCTATAGGTCCATGTAATAATTTATGTAACTCATTTTCATTAATGTAATACCAAATTGTTTAATAAAGACCGAGGCCAGGCCTTATTCTTAAAAAAAAAAAAAAAAAAAAAAAATAAATAAAAAATTAAAATTTAAAATATGGTAAAAATACCTTTTTGTTTTTTTAACTGATTTACAAGTGATACATTACATCCTAAACATAAAGTTTTTAATGAATTTTCTTGTTTGTTTTCTTTATTAATAGTAATTCGTTCTTCTTTGTTGATTGGTTTTGACTTTTTGATACTTGTTTTTCTACATCAGACATTTTTCACTTTTTTGGAGCACCTTTAGTTTTTGCAATTAATGGATTATTAATTCTATTATCATCTGAAGGTTGCTGATTTAACTCTATAGTCTTGATTTCTAACTATAAAATTGTTTCAATCGAATTTACGAATTTTTCTATAAGATGTGGGTTTGCTTTAGTAAATCGTTGAATTTTATTAAGGAGTCATGTAAGAAGAAAATTTTGATCTTGTTCTTAGTTTTTGTAAGTTATAGTTGAATATAAAATTGTTGAATCTACTGTTGTAGTTGAATAAAATTCATGATACCATTGTGCTAGTTCGAGCTCAGACATATTTTTATGCCATCTTAAGTAAAATAATGATGTAGAAAGTTCTTCGAGATTTAATTGTACTGCTGCATGAAAAATATGACGACAAATAAAGCCTGAAAATTGAGTATATTCACAACTACATTTAAAACTTTCTGAACTTGAACAATATGTAACTGATTGTGGTAAAGATTTACTTTCATGTCATTGAACAAACATTAAAATAGTTTTATTTTCAAAGTTACTAAAAAAAATAATAATAAATAAAAAATAAATATAAAAATAAAAATTTTTTCTAAAATAAATTATATATATGTACTCAGTAGTTTCACATTTATAATTAAGTGATTGAATAAGTTGCTCTTGTGTTTTACGTAAAGCATATCAAGTTAAAAAATGTGCTGCTTGTTTTTCATAAGGACTAGTAGTTTGAAAAATAATATTATTGTTATCTTGTTGATAAATTTCAAGCTCAATACATTCTTTATGAGAATCTAATGCTGTTTTAAATGCTTGAATAAATGCTGATAACAATGTTGTTGCATCCATATATCCTTTTATTAAATGATTCATTGATTCTCCTTGTTGAGTTGTAGTCATATCAGCCATAAATACATTATGATTATAGCAAGCAGCCCATTTGTCAACAGTTTTTTCCATTTGAACTAAATAAGCAACAGCTTTTGGATAATCATTTTTGAGAGAATTCCACAATTCATTAAAAGTAATTTGATCACATTCTTCTAGACATTTATAGAATCACTTAATAAAGTTAGACCATTGGTTGCCTAATTTGCTAATAAGATTCTTCATAACATTTTTTAATAAATGCTATTGACAGAGACGATGTTTTGTATTATAATAATAAAAAGTATTATTATAAGCATTAGAAATTTCTTTATCATCATCTGTTAGTAAAACTTGTGATGCTTTCATATTAACTATTTTAAGAAATTCTAAAAAAATCCAAGTAAAGCTTGCTTCAGTTTCATTGCTCATTAGTGCTCCCACAAAACAAATACTTTGTCCCAAATTATTAACACCTGTAAAAATTCCAAATGGCATATTAAATTGGTTTGTTTGATAAGTATTATCAAATACAATAATATCATTAAACTGCGAATAATATATTTGTTGTTCTGTAAACATCCAAATTATGTGCTCAAGCCTGTTTGTTTCAGAATTAACTATGTAAGAAAATTTAAATTCAGGATTTTCTTCTTGCATTAGCTTAAGTGTTTGAATAAATTCAGAAGCATCAAATTTCTCATTGTTTAATTCTTGTGTATAGTAAATAAAATTATATATATCATCATAGATCCATGTAATTTCCTCTGAAAATTTTTCTTTTAATATAGATAAAATTTGGGATACATCACATCCTGCACATTGTAATAAAAGAACTCATTCTTTAACATTATCTGGAAGATTTCATTCTTGTTGAGTAAACCTTAATTCTTCTTGTTTAATCATCATATGATTGTGTATTTCTTGTAGTGCAATAATATACCATTTATTATTTTCTTTATTTAATGACGCGTGTACCATATATTTGCAACTACATCATTTTGATTCTCTTTGCGCTTTGGTTTATCATCATCTTTCTTTGCTACAGATGTACCTTCACATGAACATAAAATTGTTCTTTTACATATTTCTTTTTCTTTATTTCTATTATCAACTTTACCATATCTAATTGTAAAACCTTGACTAAGACCATATTGCCAAATTGTTTCAAAAAACTCTTCTTGAGTTGAAAAAGATTCTCCAAGTTGTGGATGTGACTTATTTTCTATATTAATCATTTTTGAATATATACGTATTAAAAAAAAATAAAGTTTCACATTTAAAAGATATTGATTTACCGGTATATATAATAAACTTTTTTAATATCATATATAAATTTTGGGTTTAGGTTAAGATTTTTTTATATTTAATATAAACCTCGTTGAGGCCTAGAATAAAAAAAAAATTTTAATATAAACCTTTATGAGGTTCATATTAATTAACATAGAACCCGGATCTAGGCTAAGGTTTCTCTTTAAATTTTATATATTGTAATCCAGTAAGTTCTTTATATATATCTGATATATTTAAGCTTTTTATATTCATTAGGTTTTTTTCTTACTTTTATTATTTTTATTATAAATATACTATATTAAATAAAGTAAATTAAATAGATATTTATGATTTAAAAATCTAATATTAATATTTAATTTATCAAATATAGTATTTTCAAAATAGGTTATTATAATATATATAGAATATATACTATTTAAAATCTGAAATGATTCTGATTATGTTCTATTATTAAAAAGTATAATTGAATCACTTTTGTATTCAAACATATAAGCTGTATTATCTGTTATCTATATAATATATTTTTAAAATCTAATTTGTAATTTGTACAAGTTTTAATAATTATATTAGCAATAATTGATCTATTGCAATATGAAAGATCTTTTATTTCTAGTATAGTTATATATAGATGATTTGTATTTAAAACAAATAATAAAAATTTACTTTTACTTTTTTTAGATTCATTAGTCATTATTCTATAAACAAAGAATTAATTTTTTTCAATTATATTATATATCAAAAACAGTGTATTATGTACATAGAATATGGTTTACAAGAGAGTGAAATGATGTGTATGATTTTTGACATATAATTGGGTAATCCGTCATTGTGACTTTTGGTAATACCCCAAACTTTACTTTAAAAAGTATGTACCACTCTGTATGCTAAATCTTGTAATGAGTTGGTATATATAGCTTATTTATCATTCAATGTTTAATAAGATAATATTCGATACTTGATCGAATAAATTTATTGATAATTGCTAACTGTACAATGAATTTAGTTTCCTATTGTGAAAACTTACCATTTTTTATTTCAGCTTTTGTGACATTTCTAGTTCATAACTTGCTTTTTTCCTGTTTTATCATGCCTTTATCTGAATTACTTATTTAGGATTATTTGTATCACTATATACCTAGATTATTTTTTTTGTTTGTTAGACTGTTAAATTAGTTTTCGCATGATGATTTACTATATTAATACTTAAAATTTTAGTTCTATTATGTCGAATTTCCTTATTTCCTTGTCATTTTAATTGGGAATACCCTGCTATTTTAATGTGGCTTTGGTTTTTTATATGTATAATTCTTAACTCGATTTTTTTCAGTTTAATTTATGCCTCTAGCCTTATTGCCTTTTTTTGGAAATACCAGGAATAGAGTTTGTACAACATACAATATAGAGTATGGTTTACAGTAACACAGATGAAAGGCTTATATCGGCAAGTGTATAGTTATGATTGTAGGTATAGTTTTTATTATATAATAAAGCAGAGTATTATTAGAAGCAAATGTATGATAAGCACTAACTAATCTGTTTTTGAGGGTTCGAAGCCTTTATTATATACTTTCATTTATATAGAACACATTATACACTTTATTCATAACATACTGCTTATACTACTTATAATGTTTATGCTAATTATACTGATGATAATGTTTATACTAATTATTTTAATTATATCCTTAATCCCACTGATATATATTATTTACCTAATGTAAAGAATATATGGTATAAAGCAAATACAGCATATACACTAGTAGGTAGATTATCAACATAGCCATTTATTCATTACTGCACTACACTGATCATCTGCTTTAATAAGCTTCTGGCACCACTATCCTATTGCTAAACTCATAAAGGAGGATCACCAAAATTCTGGATCAGAATACTTTAGAATCATAATTGGCATGCTGAAATTAACTAATTTTGCCCAAGATCACTAAAAGTTTTGCTAATGATACTATAGCTCACTTATTAAGTAAAGCTGCTTAGCTAATAATTTTGGCTAAGAAATAGTTAACTTGTATTACTAAATGCTAGCTAAATGCCAGGCTAAATCTGATGGTTTTGACCTGAAATCTTAGAGATTCCTCTGTATAAGTTCTTAGCACTTACAACAGGCATCTGAAATAATGTGTCTCTTTTTTATCTAATTGGTTGTTCTAATCTTGTAACTTCATCATGTAATTTCTAAATTTTTACCTATAAAGCTTTTGTCTATTGACACATAAAAAAAAAAAGTGAATTAGATGCTTGTGATCAGATAATTATCCTTTTTGGATTATTAAATATAAATTATTAAATAATGATAATGTTAATTTCTAACCATATCGTTATATTGTATAGAAGTAAGATGGTTAGTACTAAGATGTCTGCATAGTTTTATATATTTTTAAAAAAGTTAAATACAACATTTTTTTTTTTTTTTTTTTTTTTTTTTTTTGTTATGCCAAAGTAGAAACTTTATTAAGTAATAAAAGCAATTACAT